ATTCTAGTCAACAAACGCTGATGGCGTGCCCTTCATGGGCCAGCCTTGAGCCACGGAGTGACAAGATAATTCCAGATTTGTTCTTGCAGGAAGTCATGATCCAAGAGGTAGATATGGGAAGCAGCAAGTTCAGGATCACAGGAAACTGGAGCCAGCTGCCCTTAGCTCTGGGGTCAGGCAGACTTCCTGGGTGAGGCCAGCCCTGACTGAGTTTTTTTGTTTTTTTTTTTTCTTGGAGACAGGGTTTCTCTGTGTAGCTCTGCACCTTTCCTATAACTTACTTGGTAGCCCAGGCTGGCCTCGAACTCATGGAGATCCCTGACTGAGTTTTGAAGAATGCTAAAATTAGCTCCACGAGGCAGTGGGATAGCTTAAGGGAAAGGATGAGGCAAGGAGGTGAGAAGCAGATGGCATTTTTTTTTTCCAGGAACTAGGTTCTGTGGCTAAAGAAAGAGGCATTTAGAGAGAAGCCCAGAGTTCTGGGGTCTTAGGGAATGCCCACAGCTCCTGCCCTTCCTCCTTTTCAGACTCACTAGCTTGCTTTCAGGAAGAGCTGGGTGGTGGTGGTGGTGCAGGCCTTTAATCCCAGCACTCAGGAGGCAGAGACAGGTGGATCTCTGTGATCCGCACAGAGATGCAAATTGCCAGGAGCCCAGTTACAGTCTTATAGTCTGCTTATCACAGCCAGTGCCTGTTGGTGTCCTGGTTCCACCTTCTGTCTTCTCATCCTCCTTCCTGGACCAAAAAGATCCTTACATTGATGCTCTAGGATCATTTTGAAGCAGGTCTTTGTAAAGCTGAGATGCATGGAAGCAGGGATTTTTATCCAGATTTCACACCTAAATTGAACTATGCATGTTTTTCTAGGCACCAAGGCACCAGGTATGCATTACACAAATTTTATTTTTTATGTAGCTCTTATCTTTTATGTAGCGCTCACTATTTACTAAATTCTGTGCCCAGTTCTGTAAGCTCTAGCCTCCCCTGAAGGAGCACTTTGCCCAGGAGGAGACACAAGGCATCAAAGAGACATAATACAATGGTCCCAGGAAGAAGATGGGATGCAGTGTGTGTAGGAAATACAGCAACAGTCAGTTCACCTGAGGTAGGGTGCAGGAAAGTCTCTGGGGGTCACCTTTTCATTGTTTCTGGAGAGTTAAGTCTGGGGAGTAAGTTCTATGGTCTATCTATTTATCTGTCAAATTTTATCTTCCTGTGCCTTAAGCAGCTACCTTTCCCAAGATAGTTGCTGAAGTGATACAATTTTAGGAAAATAAAGGAAAAGAAGAAAAAGGGGAATCAAAGCAAACACACTGAAGCCAGGATGGGGGGTGGCGGCAGCAGCAGTGGTGGCGCCCACCTTTAATCCCAGCACTCGGGAGGCAGAGGCAGATGGATCTCTGTGATTTGGAGGCTAACCTGGTCTCCAGAGCAAGTTCCAGGACAGCCAAGGCTGCACAAAGAAGCCCTGTCTCGAAAAACCAAACCAAACCAAACAAACAAACAAACCAAACATATTGAATGATGGGACCCAAAGAAATCCACAAGAATTTAGGAACATCAGCAAGATGAAACATATTTTTGTACTTCTTGGTACCTGCTATGAGAAGACGTTGTGTGTCTAAATTAGAAAAAACAGCCCTACAGAGCAAGTACCCGACACTCTTAATCCATAGGACCAGTGCTTTGGCAGGTCTCAAGTGTTCTTTTTAAAGTTATTTGTAATTTTAAATATTTATTTCATGTGTATATGTTTTGCCTGCACATATATGTTTATGCAACATGTGCATGCCTGGTGCCTGTGGAGACCCGGAGAGGGTGTCAGATGCTCTGGGACTGGAGTTCTAGATGGTTGTGAGCAGCCTTGTGGGTGTGGGAGTTGAATCTGGGTCTTCCAGAAGAGGAGCGGTTGCTCTTCGCTGCTGTGCCCTCTTTCCGGCTCCACTTTACAATCTTATTAATGTAGTGTATGAGTGTTTGGCCTGCGTGTATGCGGTGTACATCACATGGTATGTCTAGTTCCCACGGAGACCAGAAGAGGGCATCAAATCCCCTGGAGTTGAAGTTACCCACGACTGTGAGCCACTGTGTGGGTGCTGGGGATGGAACACGTGTATTCTGGAAGAACAGTAAGAGCCATTTCTCTAGCCCTCAGATATTCTTGGGATGGTCTCCCATCCGGGAAAGAGGGGTGTTCACTAAAGACTATCTTTAGTATTGATTATTTTTCAATTGTATTTTATTTATTTTTCTTTCTTTTGGGTCATAGGTATTGAACCCAGGGCCTGTCTCCTGCTAAGCACATTCTCTACCACTGAGCTATCATCTCAGCCCTCTGTTCAGGTTCTGAATAAACATTTGCTTGACTTAAAAGTCCAAAATCATAAAAGACAAAGTGAGGTCTTCCATCCCATCAGTTTCTCATCCCTTTCTATGATTAATCATTGTATCAGTTGTTTTCTTTTCTTTTCTTTTTTTCCCTATTTTCCCCAGGTAATGCACATATAAACAAGCAGGATTTTGTTTTGTTTTGTGTTTTGTTTTTTTGAGACAGGGTTTCTTGGTGTAACAGTCCTGGCTGTCCTGGAACTCACTTTGTAGACCAGGCTGTCCTGGAACTCACAGAGATCCGTCTGCCTCTGCCTCCCAAGTGCTGGGATTAAAGGTGAGCACCACCATATACTGGAATATATTTATTTATTCCCTTTTCCACATAAATCATAGTGTCCAGGACCCAGTGTCCTGTGCCTGGCTTGCCTCTTTAGGACTGCAGGCCCTGGACTTCAGGATTAATAACAGGTGGCTGTTGATGATCACTTCGGGTTTTTCTAACCCTTTGTTACTACAAATACAACCACAATTATATAGCATTGTGTGTAAGCCACCACCCATCTAGATAGCTGGACCAAGAAGACACATTTCTAGAACACAAATTGCTGGGCCAAAGTGGAAATTGAGTGATATGTGTCAGATTTCATTTGATGAGGCTTTACAAATATGCATTCCCACCAACATTTCATCTGCTGCCACCACCCCCCAGCCTCACTCACTGGCAGAGCAGGATCTAATAAGCTAAGTGGTAAACAGAGGCCATTGGTTTTGATTCCCATTTCTTTTACAAGTGAGTGTCAGTGTCCCAGGGGCTTTGGGATCTGAATATTCAGTCTAGAGAATCATTCACGAGTCTACACACATTGCAAAGCCTCTGGACTCTGAGAAAATATATACTTTTATTTTAAAAATAGCTTTAGACCTTGTGTTGAAAACGAAAGAAGTAGCTTCTACAGGTGGCAGCTGAACAATATGAAAACATCACAGGTAGTTTGGAAAGGACTCGGCAAACACGACAGAATCTGAGAGGCCTCGAATCGGTTCCCTAGAAGCTCATGACACAGGTTAGCGCAGCCTGCCCAGGTGACGCCGACTCCCAAGACTGCAAGGCCATGTTCCTTGTTTCTCCAATAAATATCGTCCACCTCCCACAATCTACCTGTTCCCTCCACATGCACACAGCACCTGTGTTCTCTAGTCTCAAAAGGCGTATGAAGCAGCTGGTGAGTACCCCAAAGCCGCCCTGCTTCGTCGCATACGTCCCCTGAAGGATGAGCCGCTTCCCTAATGGTCCCCAGATGTCAACCATGCAGACATCAGAGAACTAGCTAAGAGTTCTTTCTTTCCACACAGACAGTAAACTTCTGAGGAGAAGGGTGTAAGGGGCAGATGGGCTTAGCTACTGGCACACCCTCCATGCCAACCCCCTCTTATTTGTGACAGTAGCTGGAGGTCCCTGTTGTTTTCGGTCACAAGGGACTAGCTTCCTCGAGGACTTCCTCAAGAGGGGACCCACTCGGAGGCCTTCCTTATAGGCTTCATCAGTGAGGTACCCAGCCACTCCATCGTGGGGCGCCTGGCCCTCCGCATTTGTTGAGACAGCAGTGTCCCTGACAAGCACAGCTGTTTTCTTCCCCACCCTTCCTCACCCAGCTCAGCCCTAGAGAATCCACCCGGGAAACTGGCCCAGCTGGTGTGGCCTCTAATGAGTGGTTGGGTCATGAGGAGGTGGACTTGGCAGGGAGGGAGGCGGGAGCCCCCAGGGGTTAATTTGCTCACATAGCTCTCAGCTGACTCAAGTCTCACCTGTAGGGCGTCCCCTCCACCCCTTGTCTTTTATTTTACCCTTGAGAACCCCAAGACTCAAAATCAGGCCTGCTCCTTGGGCAGGAGCAGGTTTGCAGAAACCCCGCCTCTGTGGCCTCTTTCACATGTCCCCTGTTGTGATCTTGACTACCCAGAAACCCCTTTTTCTGTTGCCCCTCACCTCCCTCCCCCGTCCTGAGATCATCTTCTCCCTCAAAGAAGCCCTTTCAAGATGGTGGGTTGGAGACAAGAAGACTTAGCAGCGCGATGGTTGAGGGTCATATTGGGGGCTAAGAGGCCGGGACACTGGACTTGGGACTCCGTATCAACTTCTGTTTGTTCCTGAGAGCACGGTAGAGAATCCTCTGAGGGAGGGTTCTGGCCTGGAAGAGGCCTTCCATGGGGCCCCACCTGGCAGGGCCGGCCAGCAGAACTTCCTTATACCTAGAAGGCCTACCTGGCTTTAGGTTGGTTGCTTGGCAGGTACAGTCTGTGACCCTAGAGGAGGGCAGTGGCCACCCACCTTCTAGCTTGCTTAGTTCCAGCCTAGAGAAGGCGTGCTTATTGGGGAGTCTCATGAGGCCACACCTGGGGAGTCAGCTGCTCGGTTCAGCGCTAGCCGAGGAGGATCCCTGCCCCTCCGCATCCCAAAGCCCTCGCTGACAAGGGATGGAAAGGCTGGAGACAAAGCCCTCAAACTTCCAGTTTAGCCCCACCCACTCTGAGCCTAGCACCTCCCCTTGGAGCTTGCTTGTCCCAGGGCTGCACTAGGACCCTCCACCCTCTCCCAAGCCGTGGCCTGCGCAGCACCGAGCCCAGCTTCGATGCCGGGCCTCGCTCCTCCGTCCTCTGCATGCCGCCACTCAAGCCTGCTTCCTCACCAGCAGCACCCAGGGCAGGATGGCAGCTACCACGGCCACCACGGCGATGAGGGTGATGAGCAGGAGGGCCCGAGACCTGCAGCAGAAGGAGCGGGTGGCGCTGGGAGCTGGGGACGCCTCGGAGATCTCCGCCAGGCTGCGTCGGGGCAGCACACTGTCCTGTTCCCCCAGTGGCATCCCATGGCGGCTGATGATGAAGATCTGGGACTCTCGGGGCAGGGTGGGCAGCAGGTCCAGGGGGAGCTGAGTCCCCTGGCTTGGCGATTGTCTCCAGACCTGCTGGGAGACAGCCAGGGGGTTTGTGTGGCCCCCGCGGTCCGGGGAGGGCATGGAGGGCAGGCCCACGGGCACGGTCAGGGTCTGTGAGCTCTTGTCCAGCATGGAGGGCCAGCGGGAGCTCTTTTTGCTGAGGAAGGTGACGTAGCGGCAGATGGGGCAGACGATAGTCCTCTGCACCTGTCCATCCACCCGGGTAGAGAGCAGGTACTTGACCAAGCAGTCGTGGCAGAACACATGGCCGCAGCTCAGGGTCCGGCTGGCACCCTCCAGATCCCGGAACTTCTCGTAGCACACAGGGCACTCGCTGCCCGAACTGTCCTTGCTCCCCCCTTCTGACATGGCCCTTCAGAGAGAGCAGGCTTCAGCTGGGGACGGGAGAGGGAAGGAAGGGCTGTGAACATCTGGGAGTCTGTCCTTCTTTCCCTCCCTTCCCGACTCCCGCTCACATCCCCTCTCCACCCGTTCTTTCTCCTGTGGCTTTCTCCTCCTCTTTCCTTTTCTGGTCCTCCTCTCCTTGGAGGCCTACCTGGGTCAAACTAAGACGCAGGGCCTAGGATCCATAGAGGGGTTGAGCAGGTTCTCCCGGGGCTGGCAGCAGGAAACAGGTAAGATCCCAACAGAGCTAGGCTTGGGTAGGAAGTGTGTGGAGCGGGATGAATACCTGAAGTACCCGATGCCTCCACAGCGATGACAAGCACTGCTGACGTCACCACCTCAGCTCTTCCTGATTCAAGGACTGACCTGGTCTCCCCCGGGGCAAATAGGTGCTGGGGAGATACATGGCCAGATGCATAGGCAGCCCTAGTCAGGGTTTAGTTTGGGTCTACACTACATACTACATGTACTCTTCTTCAAGCTTCTCCCTCAGCAGGGCTTGGCTGATCTGTGGCTGAGCTAGGATCCCATGTCTCCTATTACCACTTCCACAATTCTGTTTCCGGTGGCAGGAGTAACCATAAAGCAATTAAAAAAAATAAAGCTCAGAACTTACACATGCAACTGCCTGCTGGGCCCTGAGTGGTCACACACCAGCCATGTCCAATCATTCTTCAGATTCTCCTTGTGTGGTGACCAGCGGTGGGCAGAAGATTCGGATCCAGCCTCAGTAAAAGTAGATTCTCACTCTTGGAGGATGTGTCTGGTGTTTTGGAAATGGGCAAAGTCACCGAGGTCTGAGTCTGGTGAAAAATGAGTGGTCAGAGTCTACACAGTGTTTGGAATCAAAGCTATGGAGTCACTCTGAAGTTCCCAGCGGTTTCAGACCGCTCTGAGAGGAAACGGGAGACCCAGCAACTCCCTCCGCAGGACTGTGGGTGACTTTGAAGGGGAACATCTGCTTGGATGTGTGGCGAACCCAAGTCACTGTGTATACGTGTCTCTGGTATCACAACTGTGTAGCCTAAACGTGTCCAGAACAGCCTTTAGGGAAAGAACCAAAATGCTTCTAACTGGTACATGGTGCCATCAGTGACAAGGACCAGTGACCCCAAGATTCCCTGGGGACTGCATGGCTGCCCTGAGGTCTGACAGACGACATGGTAGGCACAGGATTAGCTACCGGGAAGAAGAATCGATAAAGATCACAAATCTTTTTGGAACCACTCACACATTCCTCCCTTTGTTTAGTTAAAAATCCCCTTTGTTGAGTTGAAAATGCATTAATATTTAAAACATTAAAAAAAAAAAAAAAAAAGGTAGTGGTGGTGGTGATGGGACCTGGAGCCATAGAAACAGTCCCGAATCTTCGTGGAGGTGTCTTTGATCTCTAAGGTGGCTAATGTGGCCTCCAGGCTGGGGGATGGAAGTCCAGCTCTCAGATGGAAGAACTGGGTTGAACGTCTTTTCTCTTGTATTAGTCTCTACCACAGCCACCGCTCCCTGTTAACATCTGAGCCCCAGTTTCTCTGTAGGGTGAGACTGAGAGCTGGACATGGTGGTCCATGCCTTTTACAACTGAGTTCCAGGACAGTCAGGGCTACATAGTCAGGGCCTGTAAACAAAAAAGATGAGATGGACAGGCGTACCCCCTTCCTCCCACAACTGGGGGTGGCACTGGCGAGTGAAGAGCATGGCACACAGTAAGTGCTCAGGAACAAGGAGAATGTCAGCGCCAAGATAGCTCAGATCCTCCCTTTTCCCCTGGAGGGGCCTGGAGATCCCTGTCACGAATCTTGTTTGCAGAGCCACACACCCCTTGACAAAGGTCAGCTCTTCTCAAAGTAGAATAAGCAGACAAGATGACAATCGATCAGGGACACCATGGGCAGGGGGGGAGTTAGGACAGCCATAGCAAATTCTCCTCTTTGTTTCCTTATAGACTGGCAAAGTCTTAACGGAATGGGCTGCTATCAGGATGACTTAAAACACCACCACCACCACCACCACCACAAACTGTTCCTCTGTACTGTATAACCAACTCCCCAGGAGATACAGTGGCGACTCCTTCCATCTGCTCATTCGTCTATCTGTCCACCCACCAGATTTCAACAGCTATTTGCCAAATACTGAGATTGTACTCTGGGGGTAAAGAGAGATTACAAAATCCTTCATGAAGCCTAGCGGACATATATGAGTTTTCTTTTTCTTTCTTTCTTGTTTCTTGGAGACAGGGTCTCATGAAGCCCGGGTTGGCATGGAACTAGGCTCTAAAGCTAAGGCTGACTGGGACTCTTGGTCCTTCCTGCCTCTACTCACTGGTTTCAGGCAGGCACCACCATGCTTGGGTATGAGTTGTGTTCTCTTAATAGATTTTTTTAGAGGAGGATTGATGATCAGGAACATAAGTTGTTTGGATAACTGAGAAATGGAGCTCAAGGTAGGCGAGAGACCCAGTGTGAATTAAAGAGTATGAGGAGGAAGACAGGGTTTAGTATCGTTTAGTGAAAACTTGTAGCTTTCTAAATCAGGATATTCAGCTTTAGAGATGGGGAGGGGTGTGTGTGTGTGTGTGACTCAAGATCATCTGGCAGTGACGGAAAGAGAGAAGAGGAGAAAGATTCGCGGATGATGCAGAGAACGTTCGTTATTAGGCCCTGTTGATAGACAGACTGGGTGACGTTAGCCAGGTCGGGAGTCATGCTAGGCTGACGGGGGAGGAGGAGTTTGCTTCTTCTCTGAGTTCTAGGAAAAGTCGAAAGGCGGTCCAGGCAGTGTCGAAGACATCTGGGGCACACACCGGAACCTCTCAGACCCATGTGCCTCAGGAGAGCCACACCATTCATGCTTGGGCCGTGCATGTCCCCCCTCTTCTCAACTTCAGCTCTCGGCGTTTTCCTGACCCCTCCCTCCTTCGTTCCTCCTTTCTCTCCATTCCGCCCCATGCTGTCCATGCTGAATGCTCGAGGGGGCTGACTCTGTCTTCAGAGCTGGGGTGCGGGACAGACAGCACACTAGGAGCGTGCTGTAGTGCGGGCACAGGCTAGGTAAGCACCATTGGAAAGCATCTATACCAAAGACAGCCACCCCGGCGCCTTCGGGAACCCGGGGCAAGGGGAGGACCGAGAAGTCTTCCTGGCTAAAGTGAGACCAGTGTTGAGTTAGTAATAAATAATTATAACAGCGGCCGTTTATTGACCACTAATTACATGTTTGGCATTTCAAATCCCTTCCTCACCGAATCCTGACAACAAGTTTGGGAGGTAGGAATTATCTCCATTTTACAGACGGGGAACCTGAGGCTTAGGGCTTCGGGAACTTTGTCAAAGTCCTAATACTAGTATAGGGAAGACCTAAGCCTCGAACTCAGCACGACTTAGCTAGACGGCCCATAGGATGTATCACCGTGTCTACTGGGGTTCAGATAGGCCTCCAAGGAGGACCTTTCAGACTTGAGTAGATGATGCAGCCCCAGAAGAAAGGTGGCTACCCCCCGTTTCTCGAGTGACCCTAAAGAAGGCTGTCCCTCTAGCCATTTATGAAGGGAGGAGAAGACAGTGGGTAGCTGAAGGGAGCCAACCTCGTGAAGCTCCTGTACCCAGGCTTCTTTACAGGAACATCATATTTCCAGGATAGAGAGGAGGAACAGGTGTCACCCACCTAAGGACCCCCCTCCCCCAGGAGACAGAGTGCTACTTCTAGACACCCGAGGTTCCCTCCCAGAGCCCTGGTGCAAGTCGGGCAGTTTCAGCTGACTGCTTCCCCACCCATGAGCAACACACACACTTGCTTTCTGTCTCCTTTCCCTCACACATCTTTCCAGTTCACAGCATCGCCCCGCTCCTTCCTCCGCCCCAGCCAGAATCCCCCCACCCCCACCCGCACACACTTTGACTGGTACCTGAGTGGTGTCCGTCTCTCCGTCTCTCGTCTCCACGGAGCAGATGGAGCCACCCAGAGGCACTGGGCTGACAGGCTGCTGTCACTGTGCCGGCTGTGGAGGCATTTCCTAATGACTGAGCAGGTCGGGAGGACCGCGCAGGGAAGTGAATGCTGCCCAACCCGTTTGAGGCCAGGGGTTGGGCAGCTGCTGGTGTCAGGTGATTCCAACGAGGATGCTGAGGAGCCCTGGCCTGAGTCAGAGGGTCTCATCATGGAAGCAGTTACTCAGGGTCCCTTTGACGGGGGCTTCCCTGGTCAGGGGTGGTCTCCCCAGCCAAAACGGTGGGAAAATCACACATAGGGATCCCCATCTCTGATCCTACGCAGAGTAAAGGGGCCAACAGGTCAGAGCCCATGTAGACTGTGACACCCAAAATCCTACACTAAGTTTGGTGTGAAGTGCCCACGTGTGACTGTTACTCGTTACACAGAGGGGCTTGGGGTGGCCGATAGGTCAATCACTACCATCGTAAACAGGCACAAGCTGGTTTGGGGGCAATGACTGTGAATGTTCAAAAGTAAATTTGGACAGCTATCATTGATAACATTATGTATTTCATAATAACTAGTAGAGGGTTTTGAATGCTCTCAACACAGAGAAATGGTTTATCATTTATATCTGAATTTATGGATATGCCAGTCACGCTGATCTAATCATTAAAGATTGAAATGCCATGCCCCACACTCTACCCCCTATATGTGTACACTTACGTATCAATTGAATATTAAAAGTTAATAAAATAGTACTGAGGAGCCTGGGGATGAAGATCAGTAGGTGAAGTGCTTGCTCTGTGTGCACAAAGCCCTGGGTTTGATTCCCAGCTCTGGATAAACCTGGTGGTAGCACCTGCATGTAACCCCAGCACTCAGAAGGTAGAGACAGAAGGATCACAAGTCCAAGGTCATCCAGCCTGGGATACACGAGACTCTGTCCCCCCAACACTTTTTTAAAAGTTGAGGTAGGGACTCATGGTTAAGAGCTTGCTCTAGAGGAGGACCCAGGTTTGGTTCTCAGACCCACATGGTGCTTCACAACCATCCA